TCAGAAAAACAGGCTTCTGAGTCTGTTTTTCCCCGGAAAGGCATTTTTATTTTAATTGCAAGACAACCTGGGGTTTCCAGTAACAGGCCTGTGTGGTCTCTACTTGTTCAAGACAAAAGACCATGTCAAGTTAATAATAAGCATTTTATTAAGCTTTTAAGAACACCTACATGCAGCACTAGAAACATTTAAGAACCTTTTCTTGCTAAAACAGATAAAAACTGCTGGTTAGATATCCCACATGACGGCCTTTCCTCCTTTGTTGTGTGTGAACTGTCAACATTCATTCCAACAGTACATAGTCATCCCTTGCTGCTTAATCCTGTAACCTGATGATGAACAGTGTTTACTTTTACTGGTAAACATCAGAGAGACTGTCCGAATAATCATGAAACCTTTTTCGCATGAGAAGAGACACATAACTACATCCAAATTCGAGCTTAAACATAATGACAATCATGTGAACTATAGCCTTTCCCCATTCTCCTTGAACCGATATGACCACACAAGCCATGACGCAGTGAAACTTGAGCTGCAGCGGCAAATACCTAAACACAAGAAGCCAGGGGCTTCACAACAAAGCATGCCCATCTATATCAAATACTCAAGCAGCACATGCTTTGTAGTAGGAAAGCTCTCTGCTTTGCACTCATTTTCCTAGAATTAACATTACTGTTTTCTTACAGGACATCATATTTTCAACCAAATGCATATTTCTAACCTAGCGTGAAGCCCTTGAGCACATCTGCCTGTAGGCTAAAACTTCTTTAGATGAGAAAAGACTGGCTTTCTCACAAGAACTCCCCCCCCCCCATCTTCATTACCTTTCAAGTCTTACTAAGAGACCTTTGCTCTCTGCCTCACAGGTGTTCTGAGATAGAGCACATAAAAAGCAGTTCACACAAGACTCCCTTGTGGCTTCGTACAGCGACTTAATAAACCTGCTAAAGGCTGAACCTGTAATCTTTGGCATTAGCAGCCTGTAGCCAGGTATCATTCAAGCAGCAGCACACGACCGGCCAAGGGGCACCAGAGTTAACAGAGTTAATACACTTAACAGAGCCACTGTGATGTCCTGAGCCTTGAGATATGGCAGGGCTGGTTTCCACTACTCCACCTCCTGCTTCCTAATGGATGGTGGAACTAGCAGTGTGAAAAACAGCCAAAGGCTCGACACCGTATGTGTGAGGAGAAAACATGCTGCCCTCATCCTCATCCATGTGCTGGTTTGAGGGCTGTGGCAGTAAACTAAATTGACGTGCTAAAAAAATTCCAAATAAGAACATTAATGGATTTTTTAAAAAATGTAGGCCTTCTGCACTTGAGAATGATGGAATATTCATTTAAAGTTTTTGCTATTTTAAAAGTTCATGCCACTTTGAAAAAGTCAAAATTGATTAATAAAATGACAGAAAATACCAGCTGGAAGACTGTGCACTATACTAAATTCCCCACTTTTGGAGCAGTTAAAAGGTACATTAACAAAGGTGCTTTTGTAGCACACCAATTTTTCTGGCCTTTAACACATTCTCACAGAGAAGCTGTTGGGAAAGTAGGATTGTTCTTATAAATATGTCAGATCAAGACCTCCCTGAGATTTTGCTTTTTACAGATTTGCACAGAATCAGCATCAGAGAAAGACTAAATGGAACACCCATGGTAGCACTTCATGAACTATTCAGGGCCGATTCAAAAGAAACGACTGCACAAGAACTCCCACACAGAGTCAGAGAATTAGCACAATTGAGTCTCCTTTTTCTCTCAATTGCAAATGAACTAAGAATGTACCTGATTACTGTGAAGTCCCCAATACTGCACTCCAAAACACAAAATTCCTCTTTGAGGCAAGTAAAAGATGCCCAAAGGAAGCAGAGGTGTCACCAAAAGCACCAATAAAAATGGCAAACAAATTCACGAGCAGGGTTGAAAAATCTAAAAGACAAAAGGGCAGGAAGACTAGACTGGGCAGGGGTGTGAAAAATCTCACCCAGATGGATGGGCAGCACAAAGCTTTTCACTCCACTCCACCCAAAGATCGCGGTCAAAGATCACACGCCAAAAAACAAGAAAAAAAAACTTTTGAAACAATGTTGCTTAGTCGTTAAAATGATCTATTACTTTTTCACAAATAGCAGAATCACAATCTTTTTCAACAGGATGATGGGGTTTTAGTGGTAGGCAATACAACTTGTTCTGATACATTTGTTTCAGGAGCTATTTTGGAATGGAGAATGAATTAATCATGGGGGTGGAAATAATGAAAAATAAAACAAACCATACAACATATCCCAACAACCACGTAAAATAGCAAGAGAGGAAGAGAAACTGCAGAATAATGATAGATAATACCTACAGTATTCTGCAGGAAGCCAGAAGTCCATTTACATAATGATTTTCATCACAGGTCAAAACAAAAAAAAAAAGTGGAAGGAATAAGTCAGTGTACCTACAAGAAGCATATCATTTTGCCTAATATAGGAATTCCTATATACTGTATGTCGCACATTTTCCTTTTTAGAGCAATGAATGATAATTTACTTGCCAGATCCATGCTCCTACAACATGCTCTCCTTGCAAGACAATTTGCTGACGTTACTTGAACGTTCACATTCCCGTAAACAGGTAGCACTTTGAATGTTAAGATCTACAGTTCACGTCAAGCATGCCAGCTTTCCATACACTTCTACTAAGATATAATTTTCTCCTCTTCTCTTGAACCACACAGCATTCTTTTCTTGATAATTGCAAAGGCTGTTATTACTGTCAAAATTTGGAGGAGTTTTGAGAAGGGGTGTTTATTTTACAGGTTTTGCCGTCTCAACTTCTTTTCTTGCTGCTTTCCTGCCAACACGCCCCTCTCAGACGAGATCTGAGACGGCACACAGCAGCACCGTGGATGGATAGTGGTAGAGAACCACAAGGCGGACTGCATATACAAGACTGCCATGGCAACGTCACCAGGTGTACCTGTTGTGACATTCAGGCTCAAGCAAGACATTAATTGAATTCCAAGCAACGACTCCGGCCGTAACTGCTACACAGGCCAGACAAAAGGGCTTGGCGGCCATTGTTTGACTCCAGTGTTTTAAAGGCACAATTGAGAAATAATACCCCAAAAATGTTTTTTAAAGGAAAATTCAAGAGCAAACCACAGATAGCTATGAGATACTTCAAACTATGTAAACTGAAAGATTCATTTTAAGTACTAGTATATATTA